CTCGAAGTCTTTTATTAAGCCTTTCATGAATATTCTGAATCTCCAGCCAAAATCACACACGCGGCCTCCTACCGGGTAGCAAGTAATATTCCTCGCAAAGCTTCATCAACATCACGCCTCCGCTAGCTGCACACAGGAGATAACCCACATGTGGAATTCCTTACCGACATCTTCCAATGACACTGCACTGAGTGCAACGACCACTAAATCCGTAAATTCTCCTGAGTTCATGCTCGCCCACCATTTGTATAAGTCTGCACTTTCCCTATTGACATCAACTGTACGTCAACACTACCTTCCGAACTCAAGTCATATTGCACCTGACACGATAATCAGATCTTCACGCCTCTATTCATTTCAAACACACTCCTTTCTGCCATATTCAATTTTCCTTTGTACACTAATCATCTCTCCAAATAGAGTCTGCAGGCCGATTCACATACGCAGACCTTACCCCTACCTTATGAAGATAGATAGGCTGTATCTGTTAAACCTTCGACTCAAAGAACAGTGAAACTAAAGCACAAACAATGTAACACCCGAAACTTTAGACAGAGTCCCACATCGGCAAAAACACAAGAGGGATGCTGGGTATATAAGTTAACAAGCCTTATACCCTAGTGACGCGTTTTAAACCCGTGAGGGCCTAGGCCCAGAGCGGACAATATCACTAGCGGGCTTGGCTGTTACAAACAATTGTGACAACAAGGTAGCAGGGTAATGAAAGCGAATAACACAGCATGTACGAATACGAAACAGGAATAAGAAAACACAACAATAGAACTAGTAATACAGGTAAGCCTAGGAGAGACTCACGACTATCTGTCAACCTTCCACCCTAATACTCATCCTCCACATCTTCCTATCGAGGGTCATGTCCTCGGTAAGCTGAAGCAGTGAAATGTCCTTCCTAATCACCTCATCCCAGTACTTCTTAGGCCTACCCCTACCCTTCCTCAGACCCGCCATGGTTAACCTCTCACACCTCCTAACCGGGGCAGCTATATCTCGCCTCTTCAGTTGTCCGAACCATCTCAACCTTGATTCTCGCAAGTTGTCCTCTACAGGGGCTACTCCCACCATGTCCCTAATAACTTCGTTCCTAAGCTTGTCTTTTCTGGTATGTCCACACATCCATCTCAACATTTTCATTTCAGCTACTTTCATCTTCTGGACATGGGACTTCTTGACGGGCTAACACTCAGCCCCATACAACATAGTCGGCCTAACGACCACTCCGTAGAACTTGCCTTTAAGTCTAGGTGGCACATTTTTATCACACAAAACCCCAGATGCAAGCCTCCATTTCATCCACCCCGCTCCAATTCGGTGAGTAACATCCTCGTCAATCTCCCTGTTGCCTTGTATTACAGACCCAAGGTATTTGAAACTATCTCTCTTGGGGATGACTTGTGTATCAATTTTCACTTCTGCTTCGTGCGTCCCATCACTGAACTTACACTCCAAGTATTCACACACTTGATATTATTTCTTCTGTTTTACATACAGGTTGTAAATTCAAACGTATCATTGCAACGAATGGAGGAATTGTTCTTTGCTGAAGAGAGAATTCTCTTACCTAATCCACCACTTGAACCTTGTCTTCCTGCCATCTCAATCAGGGACGGATACTTTTCATGGGATTTTAAGGTCGACCTCTTCTTTATCTCTCTGTAATGCTGCACTAAGCTTTCGGACAAGTAGTCTTTTACTTATTACTTAACTGTGATTGCACTAGTTATAAGCAGCTAATTATCATCATTTGATTTTTCCTAACCAGAGTGTCTCTTGTAGCTCAAGACTATGCTGATCTAGAATATTGTGTTAATGCACAGAAGGACCTGGAAACTGCTTGCTAGCATATCTCTAATGCTTTCTTTGAAATGCATTTCAATTGTATGCTTGTCGATGATTATTATAAAACTTTTAAAAATCATTAAATTATCAAGATCCTTGCCGTGCAGAATCTCTCTAGTTTAGCAAACGCGCGAGAATCCTATTAGTATAATTTGAAAAGCTTGATATCTATAATTCAATTGTTTGATTTAGAATACCGGAGCACTAAAAGTATGTGAATTTGAAAGATGTCCCCGAACCTTGATGGCTGGGAGAAGAGAAGGCATTCTTGATTTTTCTATGATCCATTTTCTCATTAGTTATTGCCTTTTACAATTTATGCAGTAAGATTTAAAAAAAAAAAAACACAGCACAAGTTCTTTTACGTAAACATTCTCAAATGTGTGTGAATAATGTGAAGAAATGTGTGAAACAAGATTAAGCAAGTTCATGGACAAGGGAACGGACATCGGTTGTTTTGATTATTTCTCATTTGATTGGATTCTAGGACAATCTTAGTCTTCCAAATTAGATTTAGTCATTTGTTTCGACAGAGAAGTATGTTTGCAGTTTGTTCCCTCGCTGGTAGTCTTGTTTGGAAGAGGGGTTTATAATTTCACCTAAACTTTCTGTTCTCGCACTGGTAATCTTGTTTGCTGGGGTTTTATAATTTCACCTAAATCCCTTTATGAACCAAATGAGCTCTGTGCATTTTTCTTAGGCAGAAACTCATGAACAAATCAATGGCATCTTGTGGGAAGAGCTTTGCCTATGCAAAAGGTTCCAGTCCTTTATTTCATCTTCCACCTCATTGCAATTTTCTAGACTTGCACTGAATAAGACTGAGGATGTAATTAGTCAATTAAGTATTCCTTGCATGAATTTTCTAGTTTTGGATTTCCAGCTAACATTCAGTGGATGAAATAAGAATTTTGTGCTGCTTGTTAGCTGTAAAATTGAAAAGTGACCAAATCCAANTATATATATGTATGTATGTAAATTTCCTTAGAAAATGGAAGATACTCCATTACTGAAAGATAAAGAGTTTAGTCATTACAAACAAGGGAATGGATTGCATAATGGATCACATAGAGCTTGATCCTTATTGAAAGCATGTAAAACAAGAGGGGGAGGTGTGTCCCAGAACACTGCGTCTTCTGCTACTGAAGTGAGAGGAATCGAACTTCTTCCGTATCCAGCCAGCTTGTCAGCCACAGTATTGCCCTACCTGAATATGTGACATATCTCGTCCAGTCCCACAACATCAAGAAGAAAGTTGCTATCATTAACAAGTTGTGAGTAGCTAGTGGTTTCTGTAAGAAATGCATAATACCTGGGAATCTGTTTCCACTATTATAGGGAACGGATTTTTTGTGAAAGCAAGTTCCAATCCTACCAATAAAGCTAAAAGTGAGCAAATACAGAATTCAGCTATCAGTATCTCGAGTGCTCTTTCACATATTGTCACTCAGCCTTTCCTTCCGCATTTACAAGCGAATCTTTTTGTTTAGCCAATTTTATAGGGCATCTAAGTGATAAGAAGGTCAAATATATCCATAAAATGAGGAAAGATTGAAGTAACTCTGTGCTCTCTTGTGAGGTACAGAGAACTATATGAAGCTGGATTTAGATGCTGATACCTTACAATATGATAAATATTATTGCCTTGTGAAAGCTTGAATATGATTACTTACTAGGAAAACATTGTGTTGAAGACATAATTAAGTAATTAAAAGTATGCTCCCTCTGACAACCTAAGCTTTTAGATGAGATGGTCACACCATTCGACATGGTATTAGAGCCAGGCCCGTTCCAGTTCTTGTTTAATCCGATGTTGGGCCCCCATATTATGTTGTCTACGCTCCAATTAGCAGGCGTGCGGGGGTGTTAGTTGTCCCACATCCTTTGTGGGTTGGGCAATTGGACTCTTTATATGGTTTTGGTCAATCCTCAGCTCATGAGCTAGCTTTTGGGATTGAGTTAGGCCTAAGGTCTATTTCTTTTATCACATTGATCTGAATTCCTCAAATAGAGCCTTTTCATTCACACTGAGATTTTCAGTTCCCTTGATAACTGTCATGAAGTTGGAGTTCTTTATTTTTCTTTTTACCATTTTTATACATTCAATTTTAACATCCTACTTTACAGCCTGAGCGTCCCACTTTGTCAAATATTAATTTGGATATACCAGTTGGTGAGCTAGTTGCAATTGTGGGTGGGACTGGAGAAGGAAAGACATCTCTGATTTCAGCAATTCTTGGGGAGCTTCCTCCCTTAGGCAATGCAAGTGTCACTACCAGAGGAACTATTGCATATGTTCCTCAAGTTTCTTGGATCTTCAATGCCACTGTGAGCTTCAATTCATCCAAATTCCTTGTTATGCCTGTAAAACACTGTTTACCTGAACATGCTATTCAAACAATCTTTATATATTTTTTGGATATAAATCGTGTTTGTGTATGTATATGAAAGAATGCAGTTACTTTTACCTTACTGGTTTTCAGGTACGTGGAAATATATTATTTGGTTCCAACTTTGAACCAACAAGATATTCGAAGGCAATAGATGTCAGTGCATTGGACCATGATCTGGAGTTACTTCCAGTTAAGTACATTGATGGTAGTATGTTTGTGTCAATATATCTTTTTGTTGTGTGTAATTCTCTATTAGTAGTAAGTCTAGATGAAATGACATGTGCGCATATCTAAAACATTCAGGGTCGAGACCTTACAGAAATCGGCGAAAGAGGGGTGAATATTAGCGGAGGACAAAGACAAAGAGTGTCAATGGCTAGGGCTGTCTACAAAAATTCCGATGTCTATATTTTTGATGATCCCCTAAGTGCTCTTGATGCACATGTGGGCCAGCAGGTAATTATCTTGTATTAATGACTGTGCAACACCATTTTGGAAACGGAAAGGAGATCTCAACACACGGTTTCCGTATAAATGTAGTTATTGTCATTATCCTCTTCTGTTAGCTGAATGATTTTTTTCTCATTTGAGCATATTAACCATGCCATTCTCTGGGCTTTGTCCAATTACTAAGCACTTAATTGGTCCATATTGATCAACAGATATAGGATGAGGATTTGGAAGCAAAAGAGGAAAATAAGAAAATGGGTGGAAATGATGACATAGTGCATAGCCATCTGAGTTTGCGAAGTTCATAAAAGGTTTTGAATGTTAGACGTAACAAAAAAACCATTTTTGTTGGCATGATACACACTTGTAGTGAACGCTTTGGAAAGAAAATAAATTGCTTAGACAGGGCATGCAACTCAAGGATGTTACTGAAGTATTACTAGCACTGCCCTAGCATAGTGTTATTGACATTACCAAGATACGATACTTACTAGGTACTATTCTGTGTATGCATCATCAACACTGGTATTACTGCATCATCTTATCTACTAGCTAGTACATCTTTGTGACTCACCAGACTACACCCTCTACTCAACTCAAAACGAATGTCACTGCATTATCTGAGAAAACCTTCCTGTCAATTTCCAATTTTTCTTTTCCACCACCCAAGGATTTTTTTTTTTTTTTTTTTTTTTTAAATTGAGACAAGGAAAGTGTATTATAAATTTAGCACCAAGAAGGTGCTGTAAAAAGTATTTACAAACTACCAGAAGTGCATCCCTTCTATTCTTAAAGGGATTCTATAAGTTCTATCACTGCTTCAACATCATTAACATAACTCTGTTTAAACCAAAAACAAAGCAAAAGTAAAAAGTTCATTTTGATCATCTCGATGGGTTCTCCTTTGTCTTCAAAGCATCTAGCGTTTCTCTCCCTTCATTCTGTCCACCATATACAACAACAACAAGCCCAGTAATTTCCCACAAGTGGGGTCTAGAGAGGGTAAGATGTACGCAGCCTTACCCCTACCGTGGAAGGGCAAAGAGGTTGTTTCCGATAGACCCTCGACCGGAGAACGGATGAAAATTTTTTTTCTAAAAAAATCGTGGTGTCAACAAGTAGGAATAACAACAAGATAAAAAAGACCGAAGTCGAGAAAGCAGTTAAACTCTAGGTAGTAAAAGCCAATGAATAGAAGGATATCATACTAACACTAATGCTAGCGAACTGAGTAAAACAAAGAGAAACGCTCGACTACCTACTAGCCTTCTACCCTACACTTCGACCTCCACACCCTCCTATCTAGGGCCATGTCCCGTCTAATAACCTCTTCCCAAGACTTCTTAGGCCTACCTCTACCCCTCCTAATACCCACTGAGGCTAACCTCTCGCACCTTCTAACTGGGGCTTCTATACATCTCCTCTTAACATGGCTGAACCATCTCAACCTCGCTTCCCGCATCTTATCCTGCACAGGAACTACTCTCACCTTATCCTGAATAACTTCATTCCTAATCTTATCCAACCTGGTATGCCCACACATCCACCTTAACATCCTCATCTCAGCTACTTTTATCTTTTGAACATGAGGATTCTTAATAGGCCAGCACTCTGCTCCATACAGCATAGTCGGTCTAACTACAATCTCGTAGAACTTGCCTTTAAGTCTCAGCGGCACATTCTTATCACACAAGACACCAGAAACGAGCCTCTACTTCATCCATCCTGCTCTGATACGGTGCGTGACATCCTCATCAATCTCCCCGTTACCTTGTATTATAGATCCAAGGTACTTGAAACTACCTCTCTTGGGGATGACTTGTGTATCAAGCCTCACCTCCATATCAGCTTCCTGGGTAACGTTGTTGAACTTACACTCCAAGTATTTCATCTTGGTCCTGCTCAACTTGAAACCCTTAGACTCAAGGGTCTACCTCCAGACCTCCAGTCTCTCGTTAACACCAACCCGCGTCTCGTCAATAAGAACAATGTCAACAGCAAATAACATACACCATGACACCTCTCCTTGAATGTGTCGCGTCAATGCGTCAATCGCCATGGAAAATAGAAATGGGCTAAGAGCTGATCCCTGGTGCAACCCCATCACAACCGGAAAGTGTTCGGAGTCTCCTCCCCGCTGTCCTAACCTGAGTCTTGGCTCCATCATACATGTCCTTAATCACCCTAATATAGGTTACTGGGACCCATTTACCCTCCAAACATCTCCAAAGCACCTCTCTCGGGACTTTATCATAAGCTTTTTCTAGGTCAATGAACACCATATGCAAATCCTTTGCCTGTTTGAGCGCCAGTTCTAGCGTAAATTTCCTTAGATTATAGTCTGGAATAGTCTGCCACCATTTCTTTTGCTTGGAGTTCCTTCCTCCAGTCCAGCACTTCAATAACTCACATGGCTGTCTTAGCATAATCCATTTAAGTCCTACCATATTGAGAAAAACTGCCAAACTTGATCAGTAATGCGAAGTGTAGAAATAGGTGATTAAACTCTCTAGCTTGTCTCTATAAAGATAGCATTTAGAGCACAGCTGAAAACCTCTTCTTTGAATATTTATTATTTTCTGTGTTAAACAAACATTTCGAGCAACCAACCAAGTGAAAGAAGCCACCTGGTAAAGAGCATTTGTTTTCCATATTTGTTTGCATGCCAAAAAATATCTTGCATTCTACCATAACCCAACTGTGAATAACAAGAGTTTACTGTAAAGATTCCTTTGCTTTGGGCATTCCGTATGAGCTTGTCCGGATTCTGTACCAATCCATGAAAAGATTCCCATGTACCCAAAAATTTCAGCTAGTCTTTCCAATTCCAATCATTCAAATGTCTTCTGAAATTGAAATTCCAACCATCTTGTTTTCTGTTAGTAGCCAAAGTGGAATCAGGTAGTAATGCAAGTCTAAATAAATCTGGAAACTGATCTTTCAATGGTCCATGTCCAATCCAATTTTCCCAAAAGGTGATCCTTCTTCCATCTTCCACCTTAAACCCAATGTTACTTGAACATTTTTGCCATAGAGTTCTGATGCTTTCCACAAACCAGACCCATAGGGAATGGTCACAACTTTAGTAGTCCAACACCCTTGCAACCCAAATTTTTCACTGATAACTAACTGCTTTCCAAAGTGCCTATTCTTCTGAGGGAAACCTCAATAGGCATTTCATCAGTAAACTGTGATTGTGCTGCCTTAAGTTTCTAATCCCAAGGCCCGCTTCCTTCTTGATTATTTTTAATGTGCTCCTCTTGACCAAGTGAAATGTTCTTCTTTCAGTATTTCCCTGCCAAAGAAAAATCCACGGGTGGTGTTCTTCTTCCACACCCATGGATTTTTCCAAATTGACTATCCTTTTTTCCCCTATGTACAGGACTAATTTGCAGTAACTTGATTGCTTAGTAGAATTCACTGGTTGCAATTATTCCATCCTTCTCTTGGCAGTGTGAAAGCATACGCTAGACGCAATTTGTATCTAACTTGCTGTACAATGGGGTCTTTCAGGTTTTTAAGAAATGTATAAAGGAAGAATTGCAAGGAAAGACTAGGGTGCTTGTGACAAATCAGCTGCATTTTCTACCTCAGGTGGATAGGATCATTTTGGTCTCTGAAGGAATGGTGAAAGAGGATGGGAGTTTCGAGGATCTCTCCAAAAATGGCGCACTTTTTCGAAAGCTAATGGAAAATGCTGGGAAAATGGAAAGTTATGGTGTTGAAACTGACGACCCAAACTTTGACTATGAGAGTTCACAATCTTCTTTAAACATAGGGCATGAGCTCCAAAAGAATGAAACCTCCGTAACCAAAAGGAGAGCTGGTAAATCTGTTCTTATCAGGCAGGAAGAGCGGGAAACTGGTATTATCAACTGGAATGTCTTGATGAGGTAATATTCAAAGTATATGCTTCGAGAAATTTACCCTTGTTATTTTTAATCAAGTCATTCATGCATGAATATACTGGTCATTCCACAAGTTAAGAGTCCTATTAACTTTTGCAGAACTTAACAAGAAAAATTTACTACACTTATAAAATACTTGTTCACATATCTATAGAAGAATTCTAGGCACAAAATTTTCTCACGCATCCCCTACGTTGTTCTCTTGCTTCTCCTATGATATGTAGATACTGGTGGGGAGAAAATTTTATTTTCTTGTGGTGCAATCGCTTCTAACATCTAGGAAAAGAATATTGCATTTCATTTCTAGTGGTTTATTTTCTTGTTGGTTTTGTCAGTGCTCCGCATAAGCAAACACCACCTTAAGGCTAGGCAATTCATGTCTAACAGAACTGTGAGAAAGCACGGGAGAAAATATATTATTGATATTAGATACTCAATACAATACAAGAGGTCCTTATTTATAGCTATACTCTACAAGGACATATTACTCCTATTTCAATGTGGGACAAGACAACATTATGTACATATCTATAAACTACCACTCCCCCTCAAGCCGGTGCATACAAATCATATGTACCGAGCTTGTTACATATATAACCAATACGAGAACCAGTGAGAGACTTGGTGAAAATATCTGCAAGCTGATCATTCGACCTCACAAACTTTGTAGCAATCTCTCCTGAAAGTATCTTTTCTCTGACGAAGTGACAATCAATCTCAATGTGTTTAGTTCTCTCATGGAACACCGGATTTGATGCTATATGAAAGGCAACTTGATTATCACACACAAGTTCCATCAGACTGATTTCACCAAATTTCAACCCCTTGAGTAGTTGTTTGGTCCAGACTAGCTCACATGTTGCCATAGCCATTGCTCGATATTCTGCTTCTGCACTAGACCGAGCAACTACATTCTGTTTCTTGCTCTTCCA